AATTTAGGATGAAAGATATTTTTTCTCTATAATAAGTTTTTAGCATTTTATTCTGTTTCTGAGGCCTTCAAATATAATGTTGTTTTCAGTCACTTCTACAAAGGTGTTCCACCAGAAAACACTTATTCATTGATAGATATTTCTTCCCTGTTGCTTAGCTGGTGTGTTGCTTATTATTTTCTTATTTTTATTGTAGTAGCTCTAGTTTCAGTTAATCTGTTGGCTTTCAGCCACTAACAGTTGTTTTCTAGCTGAATTACCTTCTAGTAGAAATAGTTTTTCCAGATTTTGGCAGTGTACTGTGATTAGATAACCTCTAATACTTATTCTTCAGTGAACTAATTAAGCTGTGGTTAAGTGTCTCATTAGAAAACATTGTAACAGTGGAGCAGGAAGAGAAGGGTGAAGGGCTTCTCACATGATTCAGAAGAGCTTTGAATTAACACAAGAGGGAGGGAGGTTGGAAGCACAATAGTATGAAAGGAAAGGATTTTGTAATTTACTTTGCCCATGAAAGTACTTTTGCTGTAAACTACTTGCAGGGTTTTGGTTTGAGTTAAGAAGCCCTACCATGAGGGCATGAAAAATATTTGAGTACATCTTACCTGGGAGGGAGTCTGCCAGGTTACAGCCATGTTTTCCAGAACTTGAGTTGTTCATTTAGCATTTTTCTGAGACCTTTTCATTTTTGCTGTTGGACATGTTTCTGAAACCTGCTCTATATCCCTTATGTTTTCCATGTGTTTTATGAAGTTTCCCTTATACACAAGGATGTAATTTGTATGTGGGCATGGTGCATGCTCTAACCATAAATTCTGCAGTATTTATTTCTGCTACTCTTGGAATAGAGTAAATACATTGATTAAGACTATACAGCTTTAAGCCATTTTAAACCACTAAGACATACCATATATAGTGAGTAGCTGTGTTGATCCACTCAACCTTGATTTAATATGAAGTGTCTAACTGATCCTGAGTATTTTAAATCCAAGAAATAAATTGACTTTCTCATGTGGGTTTTCTCGTAAATTTCTTCAAATTGATGCATGTCCATAGTCCTGGGTAGCACTCCCTCTTTGGACCACTGATTTGTCATGTGCAAAAGATTGATTTCAATTTTTTACTGTACTTCTACTGAAGAGATCTTTTAAATGTGCTCTTACCTCATTATTTGAGAACAGAAATAGGATATTTCAGGCAGATTTCTTATTATATGATTTGCAAGGCATCTGTAGATGATAAGTAGATCCAGTTAATTTCTGATTTCATTTCCTGCAAAAGCTTGGGCTCCTGTTTCAGCAACTTACCTCTGTACATCTAAGTGATTTTGGTTTATTTGATTTTGCCAAAAGTATTTTTCATTTGGATCTCAAAGCCTACTTCTTTACGTGCCTAACTCAAAATTATGGCTCCATTTTTATCATCAGAGTCTGTCACCAGAGTAAATGCTGCTTTCATGAATGAAGGACTGTAACACAGCAGGACTTTAATAATTTGTATTAAAAAAATGACATGAATCTTAACATCAGTTCTTCCTGCTTTGTCCCTGAGTGACAGGCTCTTCTTGTCTGTTCCTGTCATTTTGCCCAGAAGGTTGCACCTCCTTAGGACTGACAAGCTATGGCATATCTATTTTTATGAGGCCCTTCCCAGGGCTGCACAAAGTGTTCTCAATATGCTTGATCTGCTGTCCTCTAGAAACCTGGGATATCCTGGGATCACTGAGATGTGAGAAGGCTGAACTGAACACAAAAAGGATCCAGCTTGAAGACTACTTGTAAAGAAATTAAATGGAACTGAGGGGAAAAAGTTTTTATGCAAGTTAGATTTAAACAGTATTGAAAGGAAAAATACTATTTAGCTGGGTCTTTTTTCATTCTGCAACAAAGGTGGTGCAGAAGATCCAGCCACAGTGGATTTACAATAAGGGTGGTCTTGGATGATGCATACACTATGTATCATGCAAGACTACAGATAGTGTGACATATGCCTAAAGCCTAACAGACTTTTAAACAGTGAAAACTGATAACTGCTAGAAAATTCCCAATTTCAATGGCAAATTATAATTAAGTACAATACCCTGGACACTAAGATAGTCTGCTGCAGATTTTAAGACTATTTTCAGGTTGTTTTAAAAAACAAAACCTCTTCTCGCTTCTTGTGGAGCTTGCTCCGCCATTCGCTGTACCCCTGAGTTTCAAGGTTGACCCGAACACTTAATCTGTTAAACCATATTACATAGGTTATCACTGTTCTCTTTTTGATCAATGCAGAGTCATAGAATGGCTTGGGTTGGAAGGGACTTCAAATATCACCTAGTTCCACCCCCCCTGCTGTATGCAGGGACACCTCCCACTAGACCAGATTGCTCAAAGCTCCATCCAACCTGGCCTTGAACACTTCCGGGGAGGGAGCATCCACAGCTCCTCTGGGCAACCTGTGCCAGTGTCTCACAATCCTCACAGGAAAGAATTTCATCCTTACATCCAATTTAAATCTACCCTCTTTCAGCTTGAAATGGTTACTCCTTATCCTACATCACTTCCTCCAAGCTCAAGATAGGTGCATTCATTTGAGAAAAAAATAGACTCATAGAATCCTTAAGGTTGGAAGGGACCTTAAAGATCATCAAGTTCCAACCCCCTGCCATGCGCAGGGAACCCTACCACTAGATCAAGTTGCACAAAACCTTGTCCAACCTGGCCTTAAAAACCTCCAGGGATGGGGCATCAGCAGCCTCCCTGGGCAACCCATTCCTTCTCCTCACCACCCTTGTAGGGAAGAATTTCTTCCTAATATCTAACCTAAATCTCCCCTCTCTCAGTTTAAAATCATTACCCCTTGTCCTATCACTATCTTCTCCGGTGAAAAGCCTCTCCCCAGCTTTCCTGTAGGCTCCTTTCAAGTACTGGAAGGCTACTATAAGGTTTTCTTGGAGCCTTCTCTTCTCTAGGCTGAACAGCCCCAACTCTTTCATAGCAGAGGTGCTTCAGGACTTTGATCATCTTGGTGGCCCTTCTCTGGACTCTCTCCAACAGGTCTATATCTTTCGTGTGCTGAGGACACCAGAACTGTACACAGTATTCCAGGTGGGAAAGAAGGGAAGCCTGAGAGGGGATCTTATTCATGTTTACAAATATCCGAAGGGTGAATGTCAAGAAGTAGGGGCCAGTCTCTTCAGTTGTGCCCTGTGATTGGAAAAGGGGCAATGGATGCAAACTGGAACACAGGAAGTTCCACTTCAACATGAGGAAAAACTTCTTTACTGTGAGTGTTATGGAGCCCTGGAACAGGCTGCCCAGAGAGCTTGTGGACTCTCCTTCTCTGGAGACTTTCAAGACCCATCTGGATGTGTTTCTGTGTGACCTGCCCTAGGGGATCCTGCTCTCTCAGGAAGGTTGGACTTGACCTCCAGAGGTCTCTTCCAATGCCTGCCATTCCATGATTCTATTCCCTACTGATTAAATTATTCCGTGGTTTTTCCTTCTCGTAGTCTCCTGAGAAAAGCTACTTAAGCCTTAGGAAACTGTGAATTTGGTTGAAGTGCAGAGAGAAAGAAGAGATTCTGTTTAAGTCTTTCATAATTGAATGCATTATGGGGCAGAAAGGTGGGAGAAAGGAGCTTAAGTTTTGTTCATTGTTTATGTGCTAGTGCTTTTGTTAGTAATGAAGTTCCTTTTGTTCCCACTGCACAGTTACCCACGTGTGTCTGCTACAAGGGGGAGGGGAAAAAAAAACAAGGAGAAAAACACATTAATGAAGCTGTGAGCTTTGAATTTCTGGAACTTCTTTCAAAGTATTTAAAAAGAACATCAGGCCAACACTGTTTCTAATCTATAGGCAAAATGCCAATTTAGAAGAAAGATGTTATATAAATTATGTAAAGAACAGAAGACAACAAATCAGTCTAGAATTTGGACCGCTTTCGAATCCTGAATTGCTTGATGGCCTCTGCTCCCCTTACTGTGAGTGTTATGGAGCCCTGGAACAGGCTGCCCAGAGAGGTTGTGGACTCTCCTTCTCTGGAGACTTTCAAGACCCATCTGGATGTGTTTCTGTGTGACCTGCCCTAGGGGATCCTGCTCTCTCAGGAAGGTTGGACTTGACCTCCAGAGGTCTCTTCCAATGCCTGCCATTCCATGATTCTATTCCCTACTGATTAAATTATTCCGTGGTTTTTCCTTCTCGTAGTCTCCTGAGAAAAGCTACTTAAGCCTTAGGAAACTGTGAATTTGGTTGAAGTGCAGAGAGAAAGAAGAGATTCTGTTTAAGTCTTTCATAATTGAATGCATTATGGGGCAGAAAGGTGGGAGAAAGGAGCTTAAGTTTTGTTCATTGTTTATGTGCTAGTGCTTTTGTTAGTAATGAAGTTCCTTTTGTTCCCACTGCACAGTTACCCACGTGTGTCTGCTACAAGGGGGAGGGGAAAAAAAAACAAGGAGAAAAACACATTAATGAAGCTGTGAGCTTTGAATTTCTGGAACTTCTTTCAAAGTATTTAAAAAGAACATCAGGCCAACACTGTTTCTAATCTATAGGCAAAATGCCAATTTAGAAGAAAGATGTTATATAAATTATGTAAAGAACAGAAGACAACAAATCAGTCTAGAATTTGGACCGCTTTCGAATCCTGAATTGCTTGATGGCCTCTGCTCCCCTTTGCATGGTTCTAAGCTGGTCCTGCTTGGTTAGACTTGGATTCTCTTTACTTGTGTGATCTCCTTTGTTTCGTTAACTCTGGTGATGATCTATGAAACACTGTTAATATGTAAGGAAGTCTTTTATGAGTTATTCTGGTGGGATAAGTCTCTGAAACTTCTCTTTGCTTTGCCTGCAAGCTTCCGTGTTCAGGTTCCACTGAAGTTTCCTCTGTCTCATGTGCAAATTTACTTCCATTACTTTCAAAATATTATCATAAATATTTTATTATTTCCATGAAAGTTATTTTTATATAAATATTTTTAGTGGGAAATAAATCCATTACTTCTCTGTACTTTCAGATGGGTACCTTTAAGGCACATGATGGTGAATATTTTTTAGAACCTCTGATGAAAGCGGATGGAGGTGAACATGAAGATGAACATAACAAACCACATCTTATATACAGGAATGAAGAACTTAAAAAGAAGTATAAGAAATCCCATAAACCTTGTGAAGTTTCAGGTATAGTAGTACCTTAAATTTCAATATGACTTTTTCAAATGTCAGATATTTAAAAAAAAGGGGAGTTTCACAAATTATATTTATCTCCAGGTTGTTCCAGTAGACCCTACATGTCTTTCATGTAGGCTTACCAGTAATTTCTTTTATTTCTTTCATTGGTTTATTTACAGGTAGGAGAAAATATGCGTGTTAAAAAAACCACCAATGGTGATAGTACAGGAACTTTTCTGTGGGTTTACTTTTACACCTGCATTGCCCTATATGTACACATTTAAAAGGTAGACTGACAGGAGTTGTTTATATTTGCAAAAGATAATGAACTTATTGCAAGTCTAACAGGTAACACAGCACGTCTGTCTTCCTTAATAATGGGAGTTTTCAATACTGCCCATTAATGCACGTTTTTCTCCGTGAGAGTATTTTAATAATTTATTCGTATTACATATTCAGAAAATGTAGTTGTACTTCATTAATGTTAAAGCAAGTATGAGTGTATAAATGTTCCTGTTTGAAGAAAAGGAAAATAATAGTCAACTATATTTCCTTAAGGAATATCTGTCCAGATATTTGAAAATATAAATTGCAAAAATAATGGTGTAGCTTCGCTGGCTAGTGCTTTTAATTTTGGAAAATTCTTAAAACATATTTTATGCTGAGAAATAATATGCTGAGAATTCTGCTTTTCTGTAGATACTAAGGTCAGAAAGCAACCATTTCTGATAATTTTGTATTTATCAACTTCTAGTGAAAAGTATTTCTTATCTTTAGCTCCATTTTTAGGAAGTTGTTGAAATCTATTCATTTATTACCATCACAGAACAAGGAGTTAGTACTTTGTTTAAAAAACAAGCAGATGTTGTTATTCAGTTTTTTGATGATGAATAATATGTACTGAACCAAAGTAGGAGCTTTTAAGTTTGTTGTGTGGTTTATTTTTTTTCTGTGTTGCATGTGAGAATTCTATCAATTCATTTATTTGAGCCAGGGATTGCTGTGGTTTTGGGGGGATCAAAGTTGCAGAAGTGTTCATGGAGAAAATCCTTGTGTTGTTAGTATTTCTGTCTTTCTAAAGAAGAGACTTGTCTCCTTTAACATGAGCCTTGTCTTGTTATTCATATCCTCTCTTCAAGTATAACAGAGTGTATCTAGCAATACTTCTGATAATCAGAGTATCTTTTTCTCTAGTAAGTGAACCTTGACAGAGGATATTGAGAGGCATAGCATTCAGTACATCTTTTTAATTTGAAATTGAACCCTGATAATGACTTCTAAAATTGTCCAACTAATCCTTTCCTCACTTTGTACTGGTTTCTTCTAAATTAACTTTCTGATGAACAGTTAATTGAAAAACCTGGTACCAGCCTTGCTCAAGTTGGAATAGGACATCTGCTGCATGTCCTCTATCCATAAGTCCTGTTTCCTTAATACAGGGAAGTTCATTTTAGTTTGCCATATGTTTTTTTATAAATACAACAGTTATTACTCTATCCACTCATTGATTTCTGGTGTTTATAAACAAAAATAATTTGATTTATTTTGGTATTGAATTTGCCTTGGCTGGTCCGTTTAAGTTGTCTTTAAACTCCCAGTTTAAATATAGATGCTGTTTCCTGTTTTGTCAGTACTTTGAAATCTCTGACACCCTCTGTGACATAGTAAAAGTGGTCTGCATTTGAGATTGTTTCTGCCATTTCTCTTTAGTGCATCAAACTCAATCAGTCTGAACACATCTCATATGTGTATGTGCTCATGAACAAGTTCCTTTTCAGTGTGTCCTCCAAATTCTCCCCTCATTATTGTCAGTGCTAATAGTTTTTGCAATTATTTTAGCTATATTTGTGACTGACTTTTAGGCAATTACTTTAAGGTGCTCCTTGTTGTCCCTCTACTGTTGTTTTCAGGCTGTTTTGTGCCCTAACTTTAAAAAGGACAGACTGTTGTCGTATCAAAAGTAACTTGATGTTTATGGATGAGAGCTCTTCCCTTGAAATAGGGAATGCATAGATTTAAATCCTCTGAAGTTGAGGGTGGTGGAGTTGGGATCTCTGACTTCTCAAGTCAGTGCTCCAGTCACTAAGTCATTAAAATAAAAAGAAGACATATCCTTTGGCAGCTACTTTGAAAGGAAATCTAGCTTCCAGAAAGACAGTGGAAGTTTATTCTGAGGGAGCTGAAGTGTCTAGTTAGACCCTTAAATTCTGGAGGGTAGTGAGAATTCAAACATGCTTCTCAGTAAAGCATTTTTTTAGCTATTGCTAAGGTGATTCCCTGATCAATGCATGGATTTTATGTATCAGGCATCAGAAACATCTGGTAGCTGGACTATACAGCATTATAGGAAGTGTTATTTTACTTGGCTTGGAGGTATCTGAGCAGGTTCTATATTTGCTTTGGAACTTGATGCTACATAATGAATATTCACAAAGCTTTCAAGTAAGTCATGAAGGCTTTGGATTCATACTTGCTTATGAAGCAAAGTCTATACTTATATAAATATGATGGTTATATACATGAAAAAAGTCAATAGATATTTATATTCAGGACTCAGGCCTACTCTTTGTTATGGTTGGTTTTGACTGGTTCTGTTGGTGTCAAAGGTTTCTGTGTGGAAATACGAATTTTGTTTCATTAACTTGCTTTCTTTGATGCAGTACTTAAGGTGTGGTGATTGTCTCCTTCCAGCCTGCCTGTTAGGATTATACTGGATTCTAGGAACTGGGTTATACTACTGTCTCTTTTTTTAACAATGAATCAATATATGGCAGAACTATGTGACAATATGTGAACTATGTGACAATATACAAGATATCTAATTTGATGTTACTATTAAAGTCTTCAGTGTTTAATATGTATTTTTTAAATCCTTGCATTGGTCATCTTGGAAACAAGATTATTAGTATAAGTTTGTTTTGTCTATCTTGGGCAGCCTTTTCCGCATCTGTCTTTTTAAATTTAGAAGCTGCATTCAACAGTAAATTGTTTTTCACTTTACAGAAAAAGAGTTGAAGAAGAGCACTTCACTACCAACCTTTCACAGTTTAAATGAAGGAAGCGATGTTTTACAGAAGTCTCTCAGTTTAAAGTATGCTTTGAATAACCTATCTGTAGAGGATGGTGGCAATCCACATTCCAGGAAAAAACGTTTTCTTTCATATCCAAGATACGTAGAAGTGATGGTTACAGCTGACACCAAAATGGTTCGTCACCATGGGCAGAATTTACAACACTATGTACTAACACTGATGTCAATAGTAAGTAAACTTAATTTCATACGTATTAGATATTTCAGTCGCTGTTCTATTGTTTTCTTTTCTACAGCTCCCCTGTCTTCTGATTTTATCAAATTGTTTATTATAAGAAAGAGATTCTATAAACATTAAAGAAAAAAAAAGTAGGGCCAAAACTTCAGATTCAATACTAGATCTTCTTGGTTTAATGCAGTAAGGTGGGTAGGTGAAATGTTGTAATCTTTCCTGATTTGCTGTTGCATTAGAAGAATTCTTAAGCTTCAGTGACTTATGGACATATGGAATATGACATATGGAATAAATACAGTAGACAAAGTTTAAAAGGCACTGGGAAAACATACTTAATTATAATTTTTTTCAGTAATTTCAAATTTAAATGGGTCAGACTTTGAGTTTGTATCATTTAACTGAGCTCTTTCTGTAGTTATTTTTTTCTTGAACCAAAAGTCTCTTCTTCTGTTGATACAGGCTGTAGTAAAATAAGTTTACCATGACATTTGTTGAACCATTTTTTAGGAGAAGGTGTGCTAAAATATTCTCCGTAGAAATTATTTCTAGATTTCTGTCCTTCCCTTCATTCAAGAAAGCTAATTTATATGAAACTGCATCTAACTTTGGGCTTGCAAATTAAGACTCCTACATATAGATGTCTATGGAGATACCTGCTTTAAATAATAGCTATTCAGCTAACCACTTACAGACATCTAGTTTTGGATGAATAGGTGAGCTCTTTAGTTTCCACTGGGATCAATTAATTTGCTTCATAAAAGCATCCAGTGCAATTTAGGATGCCATAGGACATCTCACTTGGCCTCAGCTGATGCCTCCCTGTAGATCGTATGTTGTACCTGCCAGTTCTGTGTATGTGTCTGATACCTACAGCATCTGAAGTGACCCTAGGTAACGTGTAGGTTGGCAGCTGAACTGAGTTCTGCTCACTCTGATCACATATATATTGCTTTGTCAGCTAAATCAAATAATGCATATGAAGATACTCTTCATTCTTTTGTCTTGCTTTTCCTTCCCCCTAATAGTTGTTGTTCAGTAAGCTTATAATAAATGTGAAGAATAGGAAGAAAACAAGTGACTACTACTCTTCTATATAATCTATATTGGAATTCATCACTATGGAGGTGGGTCATTTCTTGACCTGTAGCCTATTAATGTTTGAAATAGAACCATTATTAGTCTTATTTCATTACCCATAAAGGGAAGAAATGAAAATATTGAATGTTATCCTTTATGACATTATACAGATATCTTTGATTATTAAGTTAACTGGTACTTGTGTCTGGTCAAGCAACTTCTTTTGTTATAGGAAATTGTCAGGTTGCTGGCATTTTAAATGAATCAAGCATTATATTCTACTCTTTTAATAATTCTGAAGGTTTTAAGGATACTTAGTTTTAGCTTGGATTTCAAGGAAACAGAAGAAGTTTAAGCATATAAATTCAATTAAATGTTAATGAATCATAGACATCTAGCTCCCAGAACAGTCCTGGCCCTTTTTTTTTTTTTTTTTTAAGCATCAACAAAGCCACCAAAGTAAGCTTGTTTTATGAGTGGAAAATAAGAACTGAAATATACTGCTAAATATTTTTAGGATTTTAAGTGTCTTGTCACTCATCCAATTCAAGCAGAATAGGCTTAACTCTCAGCATGCTAGTAATCCCATTGAACTGGAACCCAAATGCATTTTCTCACTTCTGTAAAACTGCATAAATCTTGGCAAGATGAGTATTAACAGTATTTACACTATGTCTTGGAAATCCTTAATAGTTCTGATTGAAATATGTATTTAAAAATACAAGGAATACCTTGGGGGGTTGGACTAGATAATACCTTCCAACCCCTAAGATTCTGTAAGCCTATGATTCTACCTTTGCCATAGGACTTTATCAAAACTTTTGTGTTGAAATACAATAAAGAATGGTATTATTTAATGTGATAAATGAGAAATAAAAGAAAGAAATATGTGACTGTTTAACTCACAGTGTTCTTTCCTGTTCTTCCAAGCATTGCATCAGCAGAGCAGACATTAGGTACTGCCTTAATAGGTTTAGTAGCTGCAGTACTGTATCTCAGATGCATTATGCTGTGACAGTTCAAAGTCCCTTTCATGAAGGCTTGATCTTAGCAAGTGAAGTAATCCATTGACACACTGGAGTGTAAAAGCACCAAAATATCATCAAATCTGGTTCCATGATACATTTTGAGATACTGTCCTCCTTTTCTGAATCAAGTATCTGATTACTGACATCTTTTTTGAGAAGTATACTGCTCATGTAGTTAGTTTGGCAGTAGAAAAAGTCTTGGTCTGTTCTTAGTCTGCTTGCAGCAAGAACTTTGTAATCTTGCCTTTGTGAAAAGAAACCTTGATGTGTAGAACACCTGTGGTAGGGCTGTGTTGGCCAGCTCAGACAGTGAACTTGGCTGACTGCCTAGTCCTGTGAGTGCTGGAGTTGGAGCATGAGAGGGGAGCAGCCATGCGTTCAAGGAGAGGATTGAGACAACATCTGTTTAGATAATTTAACTTGCAGTAAGATAATGGTACAATATTATCATTGTAACATGGTATTAAAAGCTGAGTCTGGAGAAAGGGAGGCTGAGAGGTCACCTTATTACTCTCTTAAAACTACCTGAACGGAGCTTGTAGCGAGGTCGACGTTGGTCGCTTCTCCAAAGTACCAAGTGATAGGACAAGAGGAAATGGCCTCACGTTGCAGCAGCGGAGGTTTAGATTGGATATTAGGAAAATACTCTTCACCGAAAAGGTTGCCAAGTATTGGAACAGTCTGCCTGGGGAAGTGGTGGTGTCACCATCCCTGGAGATATTTAAAAGAGGTGTAGATGTGGTGCTTAGGGACATGATTTAGTGGTGGACTTGACAATGTTAGGTTAATGATTGGACTCTGATCTTAAAGGTCTTTTCCAACATGAATGATTCTATGAAATTTTGCAGCATGTAGGCAGACACACACTTGCCTACCTTGACACTTCACTGCTGTTAGTGCTATTTACTACTGTTATTACCCAGGTGGTGGTGATTGTTGCTGTTAATTAGATATTTAATGATTAGACTAGTACATTGTAGTAGTAGTACAGGGTTCGAGATGTGTCCTTTTAGTAAAGCCCTGGTACTGTTTAATTTTGGCAAAGGCCTTGTTCTAAGCAACCTGGGACTCATCTTGTGTATAAGGAGATATTTTGCCAAGCAACACTCGTAACTCTTTTTCTCAGTGGAGCTTCTAATGGCTACAGCAGCCTGTCTATGTTTGTGCCTTGTGAAATTATCTTTCCAGGTTGTTTCTTTCAAATACTGAAAGCAAGGATGCTTTCACATCTGAGTTGTATATGATGGCATTTGGTGTGATCTGATTAAAGCCTCAGGGCATATTTTCATCAAAAGACTGTAGACAGTAAATGGTGACTTAGTCATAATTGAGTTGTTGCAGTATTAAAAGGTTGTCTTTGCAACCATCTCCCTCCTAAGTTAAGAGACAAGACAGAGCACAGGTATTCCTGGCAGGGTGACTCAGCCTTTAAAAGGGATTTTTTCTTTCTTTTTGCCTCCACTAGAACACCATAGGGAGTCATCTGGAACCTCTACTGGGTTAACTGAGGGAGTGGTAGATAGAAAAGGACTTGGATGAGGGGATAGGAGATGGCCTAAAACTCACAGGGGGAAAAATGATAACTTTGAGGAGTGTAGATATACTTGTGCAAGTTTGCATGAGAAGTCTCTGTTGGCATTACATTCCACCACGGAAAGCACAAGTTTGTAAAGAAGTATAGACGGAACGGAATAGGAGCAGCAACAGCGGAAATAACACAGCTCTTTCTTATTCTCTTGGTGAAGCAATAAATGCTGTGGTGACTTCTTTGTTTCATGCCTTCAGACAATTCTGGGGTTTTATGAAGTATTTGACAGAATCAGTATATGACAGTGGAAGAGGTGAAGGAGAAGAATATCCAGAAGATCCTGGATATCTTACCATTCTTTCAGCACTACGGTGATAAATAAGATTGTTGGAGCCTGCAAGACGTGAGCTAGGAAGTGATATTGTGCTTCTTTCAAGGGGTCTGAATGCTTGTCCTGATGCCTTGTTGTGAGTAACAAAGAGAAAAAGAAAGTTCTTGTGATAACGTATTAAGGAAAAATGAGCCGGAGAAGTCAAATTCAGTTTGGATATATAATTTCCTTATTTTCCAGCCTCTAGAAATATTTGCTTGTTTACTAGCCTTATTTCTAAATGGGGCATTTTGGCACAATTCACAGTCCCAGTTTAATGGACAGTTATAACAGGGATATCATAAGAAGCTAAACTTTATTGTTACCAAGTTGCTTCCAGTCACCTGGCAGCTAGAGCTGTGGTAATGACAACATCTGACGTAATCTTTGAGAATTTAATGAAAATAAAAGCTGTGTTCCTTCCAATAAAGGGTAACTAGCTTCATTTATAGATCTCTTTTTTTCCTTTGCTGTGCAGTCTGAACTGTTCTGTGGTGTGGATGTTGCTTTTAAGAGTCTGAAAAATCTTTTTAAACTGATTTTGCTTTGTCTTGGCTATTACCTCCTGCGTCTTTGAAGCCTGGCTTTATATCACTGTAAAGCATATAGATTTGGAATTTGCAAAGAAGTAGTGTATTCTATCAAATTCCTATCCCATTTCATCGTCTTCTTTTTTTCATGAATGCTGCCAATAAGAAGAGCATTGAAAAGAGGTATCCTTAGAATACAGGAACAGGGAATATTTACCCCTTTATTTTTTTCACTAAAAAATAAGAATCTCATATTTGAGGTCTTTGATATTTCAGTGTATTGATTTGTCATTTCAAGTCTCGATTGATGATTTTAGCTTGTACAGTCCTCTAGGTAAATCTTCAAGTCTGATTCGTGGTTTTCAACTCTCAAGATTTTTCTCTTCACACATGTTCAGTCAGCCTGCAGAATATACCTTGCTTCACTGCATCTCATTATCAGCATGGAGTCTTGCTCTTTGATCTTTTGAAAGCAATGGTAATAACTAAATGTTTGGAGGATAGTATCAAGTGCCATGATACCGAAGATCCATGCTTTCATTCAAACATAGGTTTGTGTTACTTTTATGTTTAGCAGGAGCTTATGCTTCTCGTACTGGACACATGTGCTTCAGATTCCATCAAGAACTGCTGACCTTGAGCATCTAAGGGCCATGGTTTCAGGCTTCAGCTCTTCTCATGACAGAGATAGCCAGTAGATAATTCAGATGGTGCATGGGTATGTTGTTGAAGGTCCTTCAGCAGGTTCTCTTCAAGTGTACAATGAGATTTTAATTCTTCCTATACTTACTCAATCTAATGTATCACCTCTGTGGTACAAGTAACTTGTATCAGGTTTTGAAGAAATGCTTTCACTCAAATATTTTAAATGGACATTGTGTCAACAGGCAGGAAGGGGGACACCTGACTCTGAGTTTTGTATTGGTTTCTTTGCCTCCTCTATGTTTTCAGATTTTGTTGGCAGATAACAGACAGCACTTGCACAACAGTAATACATTTTTCAAGGGAATTTTAACATGGATGAAGGAACATCCATCAACTACAGTAATAACCTTAAGCAAGAAGAAATGCTAATTTTAATCCCGAGAAGGCTCCAGCTTTAGCTCCTTGCCCAGAACATTCTAAATGCTCAGAATCAGAAATGAGATTTCCTCTCACATACTAAATGGTACAGGAGGCCTTTAAGAAACTGAGGGGTGATGTTGGACTGAAGATTGATAGTTGCAGTTTAGGCACTCATAGTATTATTTGGTGATAACTGAAACTAATTAAACCCCTCATACAGATCTCAATCCCTTTGCCTATTTGGCTGTGAATGTTATTTATCTGGACTTCAGTAAGGCCTTCAATACCATTTCCCCACCTGATAAAGTTCAACAGGGCCAAGTGCAAGGTCTTGCAACAAGGTCAGAGCAATCCCCAGTGTTGATACAGACTGGGAGATGAATGGATTGAGAGTGGCCCTGTGGAGAAGGTCTTGGGCATACTGGTGTCTATGCCTGATTGAATTCTTCAGTGAGTGCTTGAGAGATGCTCCTTATTCCCACCTTAGAATAATTGGACACTTACTGATTAGTAATCAAGAATGGCATAGTTATGGAAGGAGGCAGACAACAGCTGTGCTGCTCTGAAATGTGTCCTCTGCATGGATTCCAAAACTCTATTTCCAGCTTGTATATCAACAAAAGAATGAAGGACAGCGCTGCATGTTGGGCTCTCTCTTGTTTTGAGAAAGGGAGGTTATGAGTCAGTGGGATACACTGCTCTGTCAATTCCAACTTTTAGCAGAATTTCTCAGTACATAGACAGCAAAGCTGTGGTTTCACAAGCAATTTGCAGCAGTTCAAGTGTAGGCTACTTTTGAAGGAAATCTGTTCTTCTCCACTTTTCCCTTCGTCAGAGGGGCTGCACCAGAAAGGAGATAATGTTGATCTATATAACATGATATAAAAAAAGAAAACAGAAATACATTGGTTTGCATCTGGATCAGTTCCTTGATCCTGTTACCTTTGTAACAGGACAAGCCAGAAGGGAGGAATAGCAGTACTTCTGGGTATGGTGGCATCTCTTGTTTAGATAAGGCTATTGTTCACCAACTACTTGAAGCCAAATTGTAGAATCCATATGGAAGGAATGTCTGAAGCTGTTATTGGGAATTAATAAACTTTTTTACTTCTTTTACAAAGAGTAACTTTCAAAGTGGTTCACTTTGGTGTATGAATTGACTCCTGATTTTTACTATCTGGCTGCAGGATTATATATAAAAATGCCTGTTGGGTATGTAAATATGATTTTTTATGAATGAAGAAATAAATCTTTCTTTGTGTCATATATTTTCAATAAAGTTTTACAAATCAGTCCAACTTTCATTAAAAGCAAGGACAAAAACTTAATTGTTTAAAGTTGCTTTCTAAAACCCTCTAATACTTTACATATTGATTCTACACATCATCTGTGTAAACCAGCTTATGTCTATGACAGTTGCAAGGACATTACTTTTGTTCTTTCTTTGATATTTCACCAATAAATTACAGGTTTTACAGTGTATAGTAAGTATCCTTTGTACAGTAGTATTTCAACATGTTGTCTGTTTACAAATCAATATAAAATTATAGGTAGTTGGATTTTTAAAACTGCATTTTTAAATTTATAATGACTATTTTAGGATTGTTGCCTTTTATGTCGAGATTAGTATTGGAAAACTTTGTGTGTGCATTTTCTAGCCCTTTTTTATATACTAAACATGAGATATTTTGAGGTAACATCTCAGGTTAAAAACTGGACAACTGTTTTGGCTTTGTCACTCTACCCATGGGTAGAAAAGTAGAGACAAATGCATGCGACATCCCTTGTGTAGCAACTTATTTTTCTTTGATAGCTTGTTTGCAGGACAAAAAGAGATATGATTTATCAGATGAGATTAATATGCTAATCTTCTGACTTTTCTCTTTAGGTTGCAGCAATTTATAAAGATTCAAGTATCGGAAATCTTATAAATATAGTTATTGTAAAATTAATTGTAATTCACAGTGAACAGGTAGGAAGAAGGTTTCTTTTTTAATGGAAGAATCAAATTACATTAATTTGCATTGTAATTCTGAAGGTTAAAATATTTTTGGTTTAAGTACAAAATATTTTCTTTAAACTATAAGAATTTGTCTTAAAATAAGAAACTAAATGTTTAATATAAGGTAAACTGCAGAGCCTTTCTTTAATGCCTGGTATTTCCTCATCTGTCTATTAGCCCTTCCTGTTGACCTACATGGACATAAATCAGATACTATATGAAAGCTTGTGGTATAACTATCTAAATAGTAGTAACTGTATGTGTGGCAACATGATAATAAAATTACAGCATTTAGAGAGAGATTTGATTGGGTGTTTTCAGCCCTATCAGCTCTAATATTTGAAGATAGTAGGATGTATACCCTTTCCAAATACATGTTTTACTATTTATTTATTATAAATGTCACTCTTTAAAAAAATATTATTTCATTAATGTTCATATGATTATACATTGATTAAAATAATGGATTCTCATGACTGATGACTTGTAGCTGAATCAATATCTGATCCTACAAACAAATCTGTCTGAGTCACCTATTATATGGAGTCCTGCTGGCTTCCTTTGCATGCACAGTCATTGTTTTGTAGGTTAGGGGCACAAATGATGAAGTAGTAAGTGCAAATTCATTAGTATTAAAACCCTTGTTTGTTTGTTTGTTTATTTGGGGTTTTTGTTGTTTTTTTTGGCCACGTCTTGTTTAGGAAGGACCAGCTATCACTTTTAATGCAGCTACCACGCTTCGTAATTTCTGCTTATGGCAGCAAGCACAAAACACTTTGGATGATGCTCATCCTTCTCATCACGATACTGCTGTTCTTATCACTAGGTACAGTATCTGAAATAGCCGTAATTACTCAGCGAGGTGAGACAAATGCTTCAGTTTCTTTTTTACATCATCATTTTTTAACTGTTCCACTTACATTGTTCATAGATAATTGAAATGAATAAAGACTGTCTTGCAGCTCCTAAACCACTGATCATCAGCACATGAACAATTACTCTGACAGTGCTATGTTGGTGGCCAAGTATCTGATGAACTTTTCATTAAAGATGATGGAAATTACTTTGATCTGAAATTGTTACAAGGGAATCATAGAATCATAGAATCTTAGGGGCTGGAAGGGACCTCGAGAGATCATCTAGTCCAACCCCCCTGCCAGAGCAGGGTCACCTAGAGTACATCACACAGGAACTCATCCAGGTGGGTTTTGAATGTCTCCAGTGAGGGAGACTCCACAACCTCCCTGGGCAGTCTGTTCCAGTGCTCTGTCACTCTTACAGTAAAAAAATTTTTTCGGATATTCACCTTGAACTTCCTATGCTCCAATTTACACCCATTACCCCTTGTCCTATCACTGGTCATCACTGAGAAAAGCCTAACTCCGTCCCCCTGACACTCACCCCTTACATATTTGTAAACATTGATGAGGTCACCCCTCAGTCTCCTTTTCTCCAAGCTAAAGAGACCCAGCTCCCTCAGCCTTTCCTCATAAGGGAGATGTTCCACTCCCTTAATCATCTTCGTAGCTCTGCGCTGGACTCTCTCGAGCAGTTCCCTGTCCTTTTTGAACTGAGGGGCCCAGAACTGGACACAATACTCCAGGGAACTAAATATTAAACCATTGTACAAATATATGATAGGGATGGGGTGTTGTGTGGGGGATGTAGGAAAACTCTTTGCCACCAAGTCTCCACAGGACATTTCACTGTGGACCCCTCTACGCTGGAACACGAGCATGTTCACTGATGAGGCAAAACTAGGAGGGGTGGCTGATGCTCCAGAGGGTTGTGCTGCCATCCAGGACAGGCTGGAGAGCTGGGCAGAGAGGAACCTAATGATGTTCAACAAGGGGAAGTGTAGAGTCCTGCACCTGGGGAGGAAGAACCCCAAGCACCAATATAGGTTAGGGATGGACCTGCTGGAAAGCAGTTCTGAGGAGAAGGATCTAGAAGTCCTGGTAGATTTTAAATTAACTGAGTCAGTATTGTTGCCAAGAAGCCAAATGGAATTCTGGGGTGCATGAGGAAGAGTGTGGCCAGTAGGTTGAGAGAGGTCATTCTCACCCTCTATTCTGCCCTGGAGAGGCCACATCTGAAATACTGTGTCCAATTCTGGGCTTCCCAGTTCAAGAGAGACAGGGAACTAGTAGAAAGAGTCCGGCAGAGGGCAACAAAAATGAGTGGGAAATTGGAGTATCTTCCTTATGAGTAAAAGTTGAGAGATCTGGGACTTTTTAGCCTGGAGAAGAGAAGGCTGAGGGGAGACCTTATTGATGCTTACAGGTATCTAAAGAGTAGGTGCAAGGAGGATGGAAACAGACTTTTCAGTCATTTCCAGTGACAGGATGAGGGGCAATGGGCACAAGCTGGAACAAAGGAAGTTCCATTGAAATATGAGGAAAAACTTTTTTACAGTGAGGGTGACAGAGCACTGGAACAGGCTGGCTAGCAGGACTGTGGAGTTCCCTTCAAAACCTGCCTGGATGCAGTCCTGTGTGATGTGCTCTAGGGGATCCTCCTTCAGTGGGGGAGTTGGCCTAGAAGATCTCTAGTGATTCCTTTCAGCTCTGACAATTCTGTGAGGGCTGGGACAGCCCTCCATGGATCAGCAGATGACACAGGGCTCTGTCACTTCTCATCTGCTGATCTGCAAAGAGTTGACCCCATGTAAAGATGTCCTGGTGGCGAGTTGTCCCTTCCCATTGTACAGAATGGAATCAGCTGAAGGATTGAGTGACTTTCAGCTCCTTGTATTCCAGGCATAACCACAAGCCTACAAATGGAGACTACTTAAATATTAGTATATATTCTTCCTGCACACCAGTCACCTCAGTAAAGGTTCTGGTGATCATTGAAATATTTCTCTTTTGCTGTTCCTTTTCATTATTTTGCCCCCAGTACTCAAGTTGGACATGCTCTAGCACTTCAAAATGTTTTATATTTGTCCTGAATTTAGCCTTGTTGTTTTGGTAGATGGTCCACTACACAAAGTAGTTTCAAGTATACTGTGATCTGCACATTTTTCAATAGGATGTCATGCTTATTCTACCTTCTGCAGTGTAGAGAAATAACATAGTATTTGTATTTTTCTTCTTTGCAAGCTAAACAGAAAGCAATACTGTAGAACTTAGTCTGTGGAATTTAAATTACCTTTTTCACTAGAATGCAAATTTATAAAGATTAAAAATTTAGAATCAGATTTGCAAGTGCAGTATTTAATATAGCAGCAATTAAATACTTTAAAATATTTTTTTTTATTTGATGTAATAATTTTAAATAAATCTTTTTCTTCAAGGGAAGATATCTGCAGAGCTAGAGAGAAGTGTGATACTCTTGGTGAGTTATCCTTTTTAATCAGTATTATTTTATAACAGAAACTCTAAGAGGATTTCACTGTAGGCAGAAAAATAAATTAGGAATAAATCAGAAAATAGATGCAAAAAATCTGCCTCTCAATGCTGTTCTGCCTTAGCACATCCTTTGGTGCTAGGTAGTTCTTTGTTTTGTGTAAATTTGTTGCATAGTTAAAGCATAACTCTCAACTCAGGTGCCATGGTATTAGTTTATAGAGTTACTCCTTCTGTATGAACATTAATTCTGTTAAGCTTTTATATAAGGATGCACCTTTGCAGGTTTGGCAGAGCTGGGTACAATGTGTGACCCTCTACGCAGCTGTTCTATAAGTGAAGAAAATGGGTTGAGTGCTGCTTTTACTATAGCACATGAACTTGGACATGTGTAAGTACCTATTGCCCAGCAGGTAATTTTTTAAAGTTTTCTTTCAAATATGACCAATTTCCAGTGATAGGCTCTACCTTTCTTAGAAGTCTGCTGTGTCCTTTTAGAAGAGTCATTATTTTTGCCCCTTGGAGTGAGCTAGAGCCAGTTGCCCACCATCTAGAGGTAGAGAAATTATTTTATAACCTGATGGGTACCCTGAATTATGGGAAATACTGGCCAGAGAGCTGGGTTCTGTCCTTTTGTCATATGAGCTGGTGGGACACTGGGACAGATACCTGAGATGTACAGCATAGTCCTGTTAACTCCCAACTGCTTTCTAGCTTTGATAAGAATTTACCTTTAAGGAAATACAATTGTTAATATAACACAGAAATATTCTTCCTTTTGTTTGAGCCTTTCAGAATACAATAGAGTACACAGAGAGAAACACTTTACACAGAAAAATAAGAGGAGATGACAGCATTTTATTTTATGAACCATACCTCATCAGTGGTGGCAGAAAGATGCTATACTCTAGCTCCATGAGGCATGTCCCAGTGTAGGTAACGGTGATGTTACAGAGCTTCGTAGCTACCTTGTTGATTTTCATGTGGCTGGAAGTTCATTTAGGTTCATACCTTTTGTCATGGAATTAAACTGAGATGTAAAATAAGATTATGTGTAGTTCCATAAATATGATGTTGATGTGCTCTGTACTTTGTTTTTGTTACTGAATAGTAAGAGTTACGATGTGAACATCAGAGTAGTATGTTATGGACAGTCTAGTGGTGGCCTGTATATTCAGTTGAGGAGATGGGTTGCTCATTTCAAGTGGCATACTCCCAAAACACTGGAAATTTTCTGGTGAGCTAAAGAACTATGTGATTGTAAAATTATTCCTGTGCCCAGCATTTTATAAAGAGGAGCATTTTGGATAAAGAGAGAATTTTGTAAGGCATTTTTAAGATAACTTTTGCCATACTGTCAGATTGTCATATGAAATGAGTCCTGTTACATTTTAAGGCCTTTTCAAACTCCAAACTCGTGCATTTACTGCTTCAACAAAGAGAGTTTCAATGAATTATTGCTGAATTTGTTTTAGAGTTTGTCTGTTTTCCTTTTTAGATTTAATGTGCCTCATGATGACAGTTTTAAATGTAAAGAAGCTGGAATTAAACATCAATACCATGTGATGGCTCCAACTTTAAATTACCATACAAGTCCATGGACCTGGTCAAAATGCAGTCAAAAATATATCACTGAATTTCTTGAGTAAGTATCAATATATTTCTATGCTGTTTTTTCTAAGATTTCATGTCTTTCTGAGAAGTGTTTTAAAACTATTGCTACCATTTTTGTGTTGTTGTCAGCTTTAACCTCTGACTTGTAGGACTTCGGTCCTCCAGAATAATACAGATACTTAACTTTTTGGATGATTCATGGCTTTGTTAAAGTTGCACTCAACATGTAAAGCTAAGACTTTTTTTTTTACTTTAGCGGCATTTGTAATTGAAAAACTCTTTGGTATCATTTTTGTAGTTCAGAATGGACACAGTTCATTTTAGGCATTTTTATTTAAGAAATAATTGGTAGGTATAATTTAGGAAGTACCATCTTTTTTTTCCCTATAATGTGAAAATGAGAAATGACAGCCAGAATGGAAAAAAATGTGAAGCATTGTTGGATATAATGCAAAATCCAGTCCAGGAAAATCAAGTGACCTTGTTTATTTTATTTATTTTAATTAAAGTCATTGTTTAGACAGGTAGGCATGCAAACCTTGAAATCCCCTGCGATATGCATGTGTAAGTACGCTCCCAATTAATTAATTAGAAATTATTTATTCACATTTTGTTCTTGTTCTTACAACAGTACTGGTTATGGTGAATGTCTCCTAGACAAACCTAGTGGAAGAATATATGATCTTTCCTCTCAGCTGCCTGGGTCAATGTATGATGTCGACAAGCAGTGTGAACTTATGTTTGGTCTTGGGTCACAAGTGTGCCCATATCTGGTGAGTGAACAATGTACAGTCATGCTCAATCCATGCTAAAAAAAATACTGAAAGGTAGGTTTAGAAAGTAAATCTCAGGCCTTCTGGTTTCAGAAGAATTTTATCCTGAAATATGTGAAAATTCACATTCTTTTCCATTGAAGGGGAAATAGTTCTGTGGAGAGAATTGCAGCTCCATATGCTAAAAATACATTGAATTTAAAAGTAAGATTACTTCTTTTCAATTTGCACATCTGTGAATATGATTATAATTACTCTAAAGTATCTAAAGCTGTGTGAATTAATTCTTACTGCAACTACTGAAAGGGAATTATTTCAACACTTCTTAATTTTTTTTTCACATTATAGCTCCTACCTTGCATTAACAGGTCTTTCTTATCTGCTTCTTTTAGTGATTTTTAAAAATTTGTAACTTTAATATATCTATATATTCATGTATTTGTCCAGAATATTTGGTTCCTCTGCTTTGTCAGAGTCAGAAAATATTTTCATGCCTGTTAGAGAGGACATTTTGTATATTTAACCAAAAATTTATTTAAACGAAAAATGAATCTGGAAAGAAAACTTGAGCAGATTAATGAACTTAAGTTGTGTTTTGAAAATTTAATGTGGCCAATGCGATATAAAATAAATAGAAATAGCACATTATGTCTTAACTTATTACTGTTGAGATGTCACAGATTCAGATTTTGGAAGAACCTCTATTAGCATTTCATGGCTTGCTGGAGCTATTTAAAGGAGAGAATTTAAGAGCATACTCAGACTTAATTAAGTGGAGCTGTTGGTGAGGTAAAGTGTTGTTTAGGAAGGATCAGTCTTTACGGTAATACTATAGAAAAGTAAAGGAGGATTCAAAGACCTAAAGATGGTGTAACTGAAGACTTCTTTGTAAATTTTGCAGTCTACAAAGGTTATTTGTCCATGAAGAGTCCTTTAAAAATTTGAAAAGGAGACTTTCTTATTAATTTTGTCTCATTTTATGTTAAAATCAATTCCAGTTAGTAATATTTATCTGGGGATTGTACTCAAACTGTGCTGCATAGGATCAGCTGTAATCTCTTACATGCTGTTTCATTAAGTTATCTACTGAGTTAGAAAATGAAGTTATCTATTACTTCTAATGAGATCAGTTGCAAATATTCCATATTTCTGTCTGGCTTTATGCCTTATTTTATTTTTTTTAAATTTTATTTTTCTTTTTAAAAATTTTATTGGTAAAAAATCATAGTACTAATAGCAGAAACTAAACTCATATAGTGTGTGAAAACATTGCAAATCTGTCAGCTAATGTCTACAATATTGTTACAAGTTCAACAAAGGTAATCTTGTTTTCTTCTTAGAAACAGTGCAAACGCTTATGGTGCACAAGCACAGAAGGAATTCACAAGGGTTGCCGCACTCAGCACATGCCTTTGGCTGATGGAACAGCTTGTGGTGTGGGAATGGTAAGGCTTCATGTCTTTCTTGGCACTGGCACATTGCAGAGTCATTGATGTGGGTAAGAAAGATGAGTACTTTACTGCACCTGTGGCACACTGATGTTGTGAAGAATACCTACCCAACTTCATGTGCAGTTTCTGTTACACCTGTAATGTTGTGGTCTGTAATGTGGGTTGTCTGTTTGGAGTAATGATCACAGAATCCCAGAATCCTAGGGGTTGGAAGAGACCTCAAAAGATCATCTAGTCCAACCCCCTGCCAGAGCAGGATCACCTAGGGTACATCACACAGTAACGTGTCCAGGTTGGTTTTGAATGTCTCCGGCAAAGGAGACTCCACAACCTCTCTGGGCAGCCTGTTCCAGGGCTCTGTCACTCTCACAGGAAAGAAGTTTTTTTCTGATAAGGTGTGAATATCTAATCAGTCAAGATACAATCAAGGCAGTTTCAGAACCTTCATAGAAACAGAAGTAGTGGTGGAGGGTAGATGAATCCAAAGATATCAAGGAGGATTTGAGTGCTTTAGTTTTGGACTGTTGGTGAACTGTCTCAGTTCACCACCAGTAAATAGAAGTATTTTCTTACCTGTCTGGGGATTGTGAGAATAAATATTTCAGAGATCTTTTACATGCTCAGATATGAAAATTATTATCTCAAATACTCAAGGTTTATTATGTTGAGCTGCTTCGAATAGGTAGGATGGGTGGGAAGGAGGACAGACCCTGCCTCAACATCCTGACACCCCAGGTGGGGCTTCTGCCTCCAAAGCCTTTGGCAGCTTCTTTGTCAAAGGCTACACAGAGGGAGTGGAGATCCACAATTTTGGAATGTGGTTTCCTACTGAGATCCCAAACCACTTGATCACCCTGAAAAATCCTTGATTTTGAGGACAAAGTGAATTGAACACCTGCAGAAGCATAGGTCTAACTCCACAAGCCAAGCTAAGGCCACACTGAAAAACTTCTCACCTTCACTGACCAGGCATCTTGGTGGCATTTCCCTCTAGGAGTGAGGAAAACCAGCTTTGCCTTCAGCTACAGATTCTCAGGCTCTTCCCACTGGGAAGTTGCATTTGAATAGGTAGTGTGCTTTTGGAACTTCAGGGGCTGTAGGAACAATGTTAATTTTTTATCTCATAATAGCTTGATAGGTTTAAAGATTATTTTAAAAATATCTTGTCTACTTTCTGTGTATAATAGGATGCTACATTTCATTCAGTTGTTACTAAATTTCGGCCAGTAACTTTTGATCTTTATATACTGCTTTTTTTTTTTTTTTTTTCTGTATTTGGTGTGAAAGTAGTAGTGATAAATTTGAAAATACTTTCTTAATGGATAACAGTTTAGTGGGTAAACCATCTCAAATGGTTTCTTCTCTCTAGCAAGATTAGGAAAAGTTATTTGAAGGTTGTGGTGGAAGCTTTGCTTGATTAAATCCTATGCTTGCAGCTGGTGCTATAATGTTTCAACCATTTTTCAGCTGGTCACTGAAAAGGAAGGAAGTTCATCTTTATATGAAACTTCATGTGTAACCTTTAGTTCAATTGACTTGTCTCTAATTTGGCAACATCAGAGCATTTCTTTCATATAAGAATACAAAAACCTATTTTATGCAATTACTGCAGTGAAACCAGTCTTCTCTAGGAAGTGAAGAGCTAATTACAGTCATTGCCTCTGAGAGATGTAAGAAAGAACAGCAATTAATTGGACAAATTGTCATCTCTTCATGTCCTCGAGACAGCTCCTTTCAAGCTCAGCCAGCGAGTTTCTGTTGATGTTAATGGAATTAAGACAGGACAACTAGTTATTGTAATTAATATTTGCCAGCATGCTTAAGTAAATTTATAATTGGCATTTGCAGCATTATTGCTGTGATGAATACCAAAAAGGTCCCTTTAAAGCCTTTGGAACTTTAGTAGCAACATTTTAAGCTTAGACTTCAAACTAGAGTTTATTTTCATAGTAATCTTGAGGGTTTTTTTAGGTTGTGTGCCTGGTTAGTGGATTTTGCTGTGTGGATTTCTCTAGCTGTCATTGAATCTAGCTGTCATTGTCCTTCTCCAAAGTGCCAGAAGATACAAATCTAATCATATTGGAGACTCTCAAGTGAATAAGAAAACAGTTTTTCCTGAGTCTATGCACTTCCTAATGGAATATCTTGCTGTATGCAATCTATCAGCATGCATGTATTTTGAAAGATAATTGTGTTTTGTATGTCTCAAAGTGCACACACCTGTGCTCAGTGACTTTTTAATACATATGATATTAGTAGTAGGTACAAGTGGCATTTTCTTATAACATTAAGGGGAAAATGCAGCCTAACATTTCAGTGTCTTAGCGAAAAAAGAAAATATTTTCTTGGGAATATGAACATTTCCTGAATTAATTCTGTAGTGTTAATATTATTAATTACCTAGAATTAATATTAGTATAATAGAAAACTTTAACTACAATTTGCTATTCTTGTCAAATTTCTTTGATCTGATCAAATTGTCCTTTGTTTATTCTAGAGTTACCTGCAAAAATGAATTCTATTACTTGCTTGTTGGGCTTCTGTTAAAGTATCTGAAAATTTCTCTCTGCCTCCACTTTTTAGACATTCTGAATGCTTAGTTCTGATGGTAGCCTATAGGTAGCAATTCTGGTATGTCAGAATAGTTTCTCACTCCATTGATATTCATGGTTTGTCTCATCACTTCAGGTGCTTTTTGCTTGCCTATTTGGCTTGAGTAACACCCATAGGAAGTCTGAGCTTCTGCAATCTCTTTCTCAAGTCAGAGACCTTCACTGAAGCATAGAGGATCTAATTAAAAGAAGCAGTATGCTAGTAGTTTATAGAGTATTATGTGTAACCAGATTAGTTACAAGCCAACTGATACACAAACTGTCCTTACATGTATCTATTTCCAGCTTACATCTCAGAGTCATGGATTATTTATAATGAGGTGATGCAGTTTTTAGCAGTGTAAGCTACATGGTAATAAAAACACTCAAAATGTTGTGGGTTTTGTTCATAATTGTGACCTAAGTGATAAGTGTAGGCTCATCTGAGAATACATGCTACAGAGATAGAAACCTAAGATGCTATTGTAAAAACTTGAGTTAGACATTTCTCCAAGCCCCAGTGATTAGTAAGTGCTCTATTTTCCCTGTTTGCACTTTGGTCTTGTTTCTCTGGGCAAGGTGCTTTCTTAAGTATGTCTATTATAGGAAGAAGTCAGAGAGGAGATGCAGGTCTTATGTTCAGCAAAATGTTTCTTTACATCAACTTGAAGCAGGCTAGGCAGAGTGAGGTCTGTAGTCATTAATGGAAATGAATGGGAACATCCCACAGAGATAAATACAGCCAGAAATTACAGCTCTGAGGTTTGTGGACTTTGGCATTCATCTGAGTGGGTGTTCTCATTTTCACTCTCTGCTCATGGGGTAATGTGCTGAATCTTTGTAACTTCTAGGATTCAAACAGCTGTATGTGATTGGAACAGTTGGACAGTTTATTCTCAGACCTCTGCTACAGGCCAGATACTTTGTAGTGAGCTGATCTCGTACTGCAGCACTATGTTTAGTGTTTATCTGTTTTGTGGCACCAGCTACACCCATTTTCCTTTCCTGCATTCAGTCCACAAAAACTTTCTTTTCCTCTGATATTCCTTTTGATTGTCCTTTTGATTTTCTCTGCATGCTTGTCTGCAGTGTTCAGTCATCTTTCCCGTTAGAAGCATCAGCAGCTACCAGTGACATCCATGGAATCCTGTTGGTGTCTGGAAATGTAGAAATAGTTTTTTTCCTTCGTTTCAATCATTGCCCCGAGATCTTCAAAATCCACGTGCATCTCAGAGTAGTCTGGAAAATGTAGGCAGTAAGACTGAACTTGGAATCCTTCTGCTGTGAGTCATACCAGACTGTATATGAAGTATTTGATTTCAGAAGAGCTCTAGTCCAGTTCTGCACGCATTCATCATTTTTCTTGATTTGGTCAAAATAAAATATAGCCTGGCAATGAATACTTTAAAAACTTCTTTCAAAGTTGCTTTCCTGAAAATTTAGTAAGTTCAATAACTATGAGATAAGTTGGGAGTACCCAAAATCAGTTTATTAAATCATAGTTTAATCCATAGCCAAGAGTCAAACTGATTATTAAAAGCAGATAATTAATAAATACAAATCTGAACCTGTAGGTTCATTGATCCCAAATTTGAACCATTGAACCTCCATCTCATCTCTGAAGATACAGTAGTTCCATGTGGATTTGGTTCAGAATTTCTGCCTTTATTGACAGAAAGCCCAGCTGTTGACCTTGGCTAGGGCAGAGATGCCACTTGCAGTAATTGGTATGTTTGGAATGACAAGCGATATGACTCTGTGATTCTATACCCACTTTACTTAATGCCTACGTTATATTTGCCATAACAAATGTAGGAAAAAAATGTTAGTTATTATATTTAAGTTTATGAAAGTTCTGTGTATTGTAGTATTCTCAGTGAAGCAATGATTCAAGGCAACACAGAAGGACATCTGGAATGCGTCTGGTGCCGGAGTTTTCTACTGTGACTTCACCATGTTGCTTCTGTAGGAATGCAGCAGAATAATAGCTGAGACAACTTTCTTGAATAAGCTATTAGAATCCCAGATGTGAACATGTGCTTTGCATTTCTGCAGATCAAAATAATGCTGTTGTGGGTATAAAATTTCATTTTATGTCTCTGTCTTTTCCTGAAATCTCCCTTCAAGTTACTGTAAATGCTTTTGTGGATGGAAGAAGAACCTAAAGTCTCAGTTGCTGTCCCTTATTTGGATGATGTGTTTGTTTTGTGAAGTAGGAGTTAGAATCTTCAGCCAACAGTAGTAAAACATAGTTTCCTAAGGTGCTCATTGACCATTCTTGGAGAGGCAAGGTCTTCATGTTTCCTCATATTTGTCTTAAACTTTCTTGTAATGCAGCCGTATCTTTTATTGCAAGGTGCTGAAATGTTTGGGTACAAAGGTACCTTACAGTCATCTTAGAAAAAATGATAAAAACTAATGGTAGGCACTGCAGTGAGAAATTCACATGCAGATACACAGTGAAATTATGCTGTGTTTTTGGTGCTAAGTTAAAATATTAGTCTTAGCATCAAGCAAGTGATTGTCTGGCCAATTTTCTGGATTGTTTAAATGACTGTGACAAGATAGCTCTAGCTTTTCTTTTGTGTTTGCTTTGGGCTTCAAAATCACCTTGAATGGTTTTATTCTTAGCAGAAAGCATTCAGGGTTAAGAAGATGTGTCCCGTGTGCAAGGGTCAGTGTGACAAAAGAATTACACAGGCAGGAAATTTTATCACCTAGTTGGATTAGGAACTCCAGCAAAACTCAGAAAGGAAAATCTAATTCTGTGCAAATTCCTGTTTTTAAAGCAAAATTATTGTTTGTATATGAGCATAAGTATTATTTAATAAAAGCATATGCTAATCAGGAATAATTGCTTCCACTGAACAGCATTGAGTTTTGTATCATTCAGGTATATTGAGAAAGATAGCACATATAATTTCTGTATGTTCAGCAAAGTTTGTGTTAATTGATCATGCAGTAACTTTGTGACATCATAATAATGTTTGAGAAATTCTGCATGACATTTAAATGAATTTTAAAAGGCGGGAATCCTGGAAGTATTTTATCTTCTGTGTATCAGAGGTGCTTAAATTGTTTTATGCGCCAGAGAGTTTGGTTATCAAAACCCTTCTAAACTTTAAGGTATTTCAAAGGCATTTTGTGTCACAGAAAGCAGAGAAGCAAACCCTAAGGTTCAGAAACACCCAGGATTTTACTAGATATAATGTGTTCTGATGATTCTAGTGACTGATCCATGTATGTACTGCAAGGGAGGATGGAATAAGCCGCTCCCTGACAATGTGACTAAGAGAATCCTTTCTGTCAACAAACCTAATGATCATTCTAACCCTAAGTTTGCAAACAGTCATCATCTAAAATAAGGAGTTCTCTCTCTTGTGTATGAGCACTGACCCCATGTAGTCCATCCTGCCCAGTGTCTTGTCCCCAGGTCTGGACAGTCTTTGATCCTTCAGAGTGTGTTTGGAGTCAAGGATAAAGCTGAAGACATGTTACCTACACAAAAGTCAGCAGGAGACAGATAATGCTGACATTTTCATATCTTGTAATATTCTGGTTTGGTAGGTAAATTATTCCACTATGTTGTGATCAGATATAGCACTTGGGGTTTTCTAAAGCATGCAAGTTAATTAGAATTCCATCTGCCATAAGTCATCAATAGGATTAGTGCTGGTAATTCCTGCAGGTTCTTTGGAAAAAGTCACACATGCAGCAATCATAAGATTCTCATTTAAACTTTTTAGCAATGTACTTTTTGATTAACCACTGAAGTGGATAAATATTTGCAGAGTCAGGGACTTAAGTAGTCAATACTTAGAAGCAAGAGATTGACCAGTCAATACCTCTGAAAAAAACAGGAAGTGATTACAACTTTCTGTGAATAATAACAGTTTAGAGATGTATGGGCTGATGAAGTCTTATAACTGTCATGACCACAACAGATTAGTCTTGCAATCTTTTTAATCTTAACAATGTAAATCCCAACAGATGGAATGAAAAGTGCACCTTTATGTAAGTTTTTAGTTGAAAATAGGTAGTTCTTC